ACTGAATAGTAGCCTGAGGCAAGGCAGCTGGTGCGCCTAAACACTAGATGGCATGCCCAGAACCTTCGGAGTGGTAGGTGTTCCAAATGAAACCCTGCCGCATCGGGCCCAGTATGAGAAGAAAATCTGGGCAAACTGAGTTTAAAGAGCCCTAGAGGTTATTTACGCCAAAGTTAGTAGCTGTGGAAAAAGAACCAATTAGGGCTAAAAAATCATGAATACGCATCAGATGGTACACAGTTTGGTTCGAAGAGGTAAGTAACATTCGCTGGACATCGTGGGTTTAAAAGCTTAAGTAGGTTATTGCTAAGCAAGAACTTCTTAAGTTTATGGCGACCAATTTCAACAGGAAGACAATTAAGGCGACACACAAGACAAGCAAAAGAGATTAGTAGATTCTGCTTGCGCTATCCTTTCGCCCTAGAAGCAGAGATATCTGAGGTTTGTCTGCGATTTTGTGAGGGACGGCAAGTCCAAGTAGTTGAAGTTTAACAATCTAAACTTAAAACTTGACAAGTTTAAACTCATCAAAAATAAATTAAACCCCTCCTGGTAAAAACTCTTTTAGATAAGCTAAATATTTGCTAGCCTACGTCTGTAGAACAAACTTTCATAAAGATTAGTTTATCTCGTTTCGTAATTAGGAAGAGCTTCAGGTTACTCCTACTTTGGGAATACACGGTAACATAAAATTTCCTGTACTGATATAAACATCGTGCCTCGAAACTCTCAATAAGTTTTATCAAACATCGCTGATTTACCTTTGCTATAATAGGGAGTACGGCTATTTGGTGCTATTGACAACGTCAAGGTCGTCCAATATGAACTGTGGAAGTTGCTTTAAGCAAAGAAGAATTTGTAGAAATGAAATAGAAATGATTTAGATTAATTTGCTCCTCATCACCTCAGAAGGACTATTGATAACTGTTTTCCTTACTTACTTAGTAGTCATTTTTTAACATCGTGCAGGGCCCAACGCTTTCCATTTGTTTTCTATAATGTCACCGATAATGTTGTTATTGGTCTGCAGTTTCCCGTCACGAGGCTTGGATTATGGGTTGCTGAGGTTTTAGTTGACTTTTGTGCAATGAACACCTCAGCTCACGTCGATCGTCTCCCTCAAATGCCCTTTTCTTCTTGAGAACCCATTCCAAAGTTTCAAGTATTCTCTGTAATCTGTCATCCTCACTACGTAACAGCTCCATCGACGCATTCGTTTGAGACGTATTCTGAATACGAAGGCAGGGCATTTATGATACGTCCAAACTGCGAAGGTCGACGAGGTACTACTTACTTGAACACAAAACGTCACCCCAGCGTCCCATGCGCTGTTCCTTTCTTGAGGCCTTCGATGTGGCTACAGCGTCCAGACCTTGTCTGCTGCAGAACGGAAGGCTGGGAGAACAGCGAATTGAAGTTTTCGGCGAAGTTTAATCCTCAGAACTTTCTACGTATGGTCCACGCAACTGAGTTCCTTGCATCCATCTTGCTTTCATAACTTGGGTTCCAGTGCCCAAATGAGTGCTGATGAATGTTGTGAAGAATTTGTAATGCATGTTCAGCAGTTATCCAACAGGTTTCCAAAAATCCCTATTGCTTTTCCTTTTTGACCTGCTCGATGGAGACCGTGGAACCACTGCAGAAGGATCCACTAAGAATTGATCTCTGCGTCAACTATATTGTTGGGCAACTCTTCATGCTCTTCAACAGTGTTTCTTTCATGGAGCTTCCCAGCGCCCACCGTATGAGAGCCAGAGGAACAGTTACTATTCTTGTTCTGGACCCCTGATCCAAATTTTCCAACTTGTATCTCCTCATCACATATCTGTGGAGAGTCTTCTGTTTATAGATGACTTCTTCCAAATCCTTGTGGGGTTTTATTCTATTAGCTGACATGTTGTAGAACCTCGGTTAGTGATACCAATGGACTTATAGTGTAGAGGAGTCGAAAGATGATCAGATAGGCGATAGGATGCAGTGTGGTTCGGCAGGATCGACAACAGATGCAATCCTGATAAGTCTAACGCCTCTAACGGAATTTCAAGAATGATAAGCGCCGCCATTTAGCCATCCGTTTTCTTGATTTTATCACATAGAATCTAATGCGCCCTGCGTTTTACGGGGTGAAGACTAGCGCTGATGGCTAAGATTCTTTTTGCCGCATGTCATTTCCTTGGGGTGGCGGACTTTACGAACGATAGCTATTGCCAGCCGACAGTTTAGGATACGCTCGGTGCGTAGCTCGACGCCCAATTTAAGCAAATTTGCTATTTTCAAGCTAAGTAAGTACTTCCTTTAAGCTTGCAAAATCTACGATAAATTGTAATGGCCAAAACAACATATTTCAGCAGAATT